AACAAACTCTTTTTTTTTTTTTTTTGTAATAAAATCAACTAACAGTTAAAAAAAATAAATAAAAAGGAAAAAAGTTTTGGTTGTCTCCCAAGAAGCGTTTCTTTAATGTCATTAGTTTGATTTTGTGTCATGTTTGATCATTGCACTCTGTGCAATTTTCATTTATGCATCTATTTTTTGCTCTACACATTTTGGTATTTCCATTTTCAGCCAAGAAGTCCAGCGAAAAAATTAAATTTCCTGCTTTTATGAGCACATCCGCAACTTTGCCACGTGGTTTTGAAATTGTTGTATCAGCGAATTGTAGCGTTATTAATGTTGAATTGACTTCACTCAATTTCCTGTAAACAGAATATGGCATTAGATTTATATAAGCACCTGTGTCACACAATGTATTAATAGCACAAGAATTTCTAATTGAAATATGCAAAGTAAAACTCCCTGGATCTTTCAACTTGAGAGGCAATTTGTTTTGTACTCTTGCACTACTTTTCTCCGTTAACACTACAATTTCAAACTTCGAAAACTTTCTTTTCTTTGTCAACATCTCTTTCAAAAAATTTGTGTAGTTTGAAATTTGTAATATCCCATCAATCAACAGAATATTGATCTGGAGTTTCTTGAGAACATCAAGAAAATTTTCAAATTTTGTATTTTGTTTGTTCTCCTTGAGCCTCTGAGTAAAAGGAATGGGGCGCATGTAAGTATTGACTGGACTTGGTGCCTTGTCAGTAGATGATTCTGTAATTTCTTCATTCTCAATTGAGGGGGGTAGATTTTTCCATCATTATAGCTTCATCAACATCTTCATGGTCATCTTTTCTTTCTGATCATTTTACAGTAATCTCTGAAAATTGTACCCCACTTCTTGTAGTTGTAACATGAATATTTTCCTCAATTGAGTTCTTTTGAAGTCCTTGGGAAAATTGAAGTGGTGAAGGTACATATGCTTTAACTTTTACAAGAGTCCTGGGTGGATCGTTTGCCACTACTCTTATTGCCATCACTTGCACTTTAGGATTTGTCATTGTATTGATTGGAAATAATCCACGTGGATGTTCTGCAAGTTGTTGAGTTATTTAACCAATATGTGTTTCCAACTCTTGATAGATGCTTGTTGATTTTG